TGATAAGAAAACGATGATGTCACCTTGGAATTGTTTTGATCAAAGGTCAAAGTTCACAGAAATGTTAACTGTCTGTTTATTTTCACTGATGGAAGGTTTTTAGAGTATAATTACTCCATGTTGCTACAGTAAAATGTTATGATATATGTACCTGTGATAGTAGATGACACTAGGAAGGAGAATCTATGAAATAGGTGGTGTCACCTATTAAGGAACTATTTTGGTCAAAGGTTAAAGTTCACAGAAATGTAAAAAACTGTATTTGGTTTTTTTTTGTGTAATTTCTCCAAGTTAGTACAGTAAAATGTTATGATACATGTACCAGTGATAGTAAAGGACACTAGGAAGGCGAAGCCATGACACCGCTGCTGAGGAATTACGCTGGTGAAAGGTCAAATTTCATAGGGACATACAGAATAATTCTACAGTTTGGTGTTCGAACATTTACCTAAGTTAAAGGTCTGACTACTTTTTCCAACACTGTGGAAGACATAATTTGTAATCTATTAAAATTCGGTCTCTCTTTTCCCTTTTAAATTCTTCCATCCAATTATCTACTAGATACAACGTGGATGGCACCACTGAAATGACTTGGAAACCTATTTGTCCCCATCTCTTAAAAGAAGAGTATCACCACAGCAACCCCACATCCAGCCAGCCAATTAAAGAGCTGAAATTCAAATAGCCCCAAGAACTGAAGGTTTTGCCCAAGGACTTCCACTCATCCTATGATGGACTGGACCACGCGTGATGCCCGTCACCAGCTGGAGCCTCATGCAGACGCACGTGCGCGCACACACACATACACACACAGATGTACATGGCTATATTGGTTACAGTTGTTCATTAAAATGAGCGTAAATATATTTTTGCATTACTTTTTTAATACCTTTACTGGTTTTAATTATGTTACACACATGTTAGTGTCAGGTTCCCATTGGCCTGGATCATGCTGAATTTAGGATGACATGGTAAATCAAAGCTTTGTAGAAACAAGGGTAGGCTTGCTATCAATACTTCACCGACTGAAGGGGTCATAAAAAGACAATTGAGGCTTAAACTGTAAAGATAGTTGTTCCACTTATGGTGATTAATTACATTCTTTGTGTTTGTATGTACTATTTTAGGAGATACTTTCATCTAACAGTGACAATAAATAAAATGCAAATGAATCATTTATGTCCAATTTGATCTCAAATCATCAATCAATAGATCTTACAAGCTATACTTAGAATAGCCAAACTTTTGGTCAATGTAGCCAATTTACTTGATCAGTCTGGGACATTGGTGTTGAGTTTTCATGCTTGTCTGTAGTTAATTCCTGCCATTGGGTGGCTACGATCACAGCAAAGTAGATCAGTGCTGAATTAGTGTGGTCTGTTCTTCTTCTGTACTTAATGGGTGATAACGGTTAAAATTTAGTGGCTGTAAAATCCACAGGGCGGAGCTCATTATCATTTTAGACAACGCCGTGCTTTTACGCCGTCCTTTGTGAGATATGAACGCCGTTTTTAACTGCATTTTTTTTAACAAAACGCCGCTTTTCAGCTGGCAAAAATTGCACCAATATACAGTAGGAGAGATGATCCCAGGCGGGAAGTGAGCATCTGTAAGATGCATTAGTGACAGGTGTCGTGTAAAAAATTCAAGACTTAGGCCAGATAAAAAATCTTGAACTTTTACCGACATGTTTATTATCAACAAGCACACACATCGATGCAAAATAGAGTCCCATTCTGTTACCAGAACAGAGACCCGAGTTGACATGAAGCCATGTAACAACTGACTTTCAACTTCTTCTGGACCTCCTTATATAGCTGTTTCTAGGCGTTACATCTCTTGGCTCATTCCTGCTGCACCTGGATCTGGGGAAATTCCCAGATATTTGGGTGTCTCTCTTCTCTCATTATTTTCTGACCTTTCAGCATTTAGTGGATTCTTATTTCACTGACTGTTTTGTATGTCTCTCTTCTCTCATTGTTTTCTAACCTTTCAGTATTTGGTGGATCTTTATTTCCCTGGAAAGTCCCAGATATTCTTGTTTCTTTCAGCATTCTTGGCCTGGCTGCACTGCTCCCCCTCTCTCTGTGTCCTTGGCATGCTTACTGCTGATCATAATATTTCAACCATAACCTGACTTTGTGTAATAAGCAGGTGTCTTTTGTGCTGTGTGCTAGAAGAAGCAAGTGTGGTTTAAGGACATAGAACTACAGCAGAAACACCATAATTGAGTTAGCTGCACCAACAAAAAGTCTCTTGGCTCAGTGTGTTTGTCTGACTCCTGACTGGTCTGGATCGTGACTGTTTAATCAGCCCACCTACAAGACTCACCTGCCGAACACCAACGCAGCCTCGCTGTTGACCCAACAGATTTTTTAGATTCACAGAGAGTTTATATTTTCAGCAATATGGTTACATCTCTCATGTGCAACGGGATGCTACAGGGTTTTACGTCATTTTTGGGCCTACATGGAACCTTCCATGCAGGCTTTGGTCAGGTTCACTGGCCAAATCCCAACCCCCCCCAAACTCTAAGCCCTGAAGCTCACAGACTTTACTAATGTCACTGGGGCCCAGTGTGCTGGTAGTCTTCTCCATCCCTGTCTTGACAGGTAACAGAAAAAGCATGGTAAATGCTCAAGTTCAAGTTTGTGTGAATATGTTAAGAAACAGGAAGCACTCAACATATCCTACAAATTTAGTATTAATTCCTCATTAGCCGCAGCCTGTCGAAAAAAGTGGGCACACTTTGGACTTAGTCATCTCCAGGGGTCTGGACATTTCCACGGTTGTGGTGACTGATGTTGCTGAAATCCTCCTCATGCTGCCTTGATATTCTGCCAACAGGTTTTTTCAAAAATGTTTCTAAATGCATGGCCTCAGATCTACTACTAATTGTCAACATGTCTCTCCTCTCGGGTTTCTTCCCCACAGGCCCTGAAAACTGCAGTCATTAAGCCACTCTTAAAAAAGAGCAATCTGGACAGTTCACTAATGAGCAGTTATAGGCCCATATCAAATCTCCCATTTTTAAGTAAAATCATTGAAAAGGCTGTTTTTTCAACAGCTTAGTGCTTTCTTGGTACTAAACTGTTTTGATGTCTTCCAGTCAGGTTTTCGACCACACCACAGCACTGAGACGGCTCTTGTTAAGGTCTTCAATGACATCCATTTAAACACTGACAGTGTTTCAGTCTTAGTATTATTGGATCTCAGTGCTGCATTCGACACGGTTGACCACAACATATTACTAGACAGACTTGAAAACTGGGTTGGACTTTCTGGCACACTAAAATGGTTATGGTACTAAAATGGTTTGAATCCTACTTAAAGGACAGGGACTACTTTGTGTCTATAGGTAATTACACATCTGAGCTGACAAAAATGACATGTGGAGTTCTCCAAGGCTCCATTCTGGGACCTCTTTTGATTAACATTTACATGCTTCCACTGGCTCAGATTATGAAAGCAAACAACAAACAAACAAACACACAGATTTACATAACCATTTCACCAGGGGACTATGATCCCATACGGGTGCTGAGTAACTGTACTGAGCAGGTCAATGACTGGATGTGCCAGAATTTTCTCCAATTGAACAAAGATAAAACTGAAGTTACTGTTTTTGGAGCCAGGGAGGAACGATTGAAAGTCAGTGCTAGACTTCAATCTGTAATGTTAAGAACCACAAATGAAGCCATAAATCTTGGTGTAGTCATGGACTCAGACCTGAATCTGAGGAGCCACATTAAGACAATTACAAAGTCAGCCTACTATCACCTGAAGAATATATCACGGATTAAAGGACTTATGTCTTAGCAAGACCAAAATCCTGCTGTTAGTTTATAAAGCACTAAATGGTTTAGGGCCAAAATACACTTCCGATCTTCTGCTTCATTACGAACCATCCAGACCTCTCAGGTTGTCCGGGGCAGGTCTGCTTTCTGTCCCCAGAGTCAAATCTAAACAAGGAGAAGCAGCATTCAGTTATTATGCTCCATATATATGGACTCCCAGATAACTGCAAGTCTGCTGAAACTGTCAGTTCTTTTTAAATTAAGACTGAAGACTTTTCTTTTTACCATTGCTTTTAATTAAATATTTAAGATTTTTCTTTTTACCACTGCCTTTTACTAGTAGATTGATAACTTACACTGCACTGTAACTTTTACTGTCCAGTTTTCTTTTTCTTTGTTTTTAGCTTTTTACCATTGCTTTTAATTAAATATTTACACAGTGAGAAATGAGTAGGTAATTGAGTGAAAAGATAATGAGAGTGAGATTGAACAGAGTGAAGGAAGTGGTCTTAAATCTCACGCCTGAGTGATTTGCAGGAACCTCTGTCCACCTGTAAACGCGCAGGTGGGTCCAGAGTATAACTGGATCAAAGTGGCCAGCGGACAGATATGTCCTGGTTTCTCTGTAGTGTCCGAGGGTTTTTGGAGTTTCAGTGGACCCAAAGATTGCTATGGGCCTGAGTACAGACTAACTAGGTTCATAGGTAGCTTTATTGTCACACATGCACAAGTACACAGTGAAATTTGTTTCTATTGGAGCAAGCCTCCGGGCCGCAGCTATATTCAGCGCTGCCACTCGCTTTCCAGAAAAGAATTAATGCAGACAGCAACATAGTATACATGACATAACAATACATAATAATACACAAGACAACACACACATTACATGCGGTCATGACATGAGATGACATGTGAGGAAGAGAAATAAAGAGGGCAGTTTTGAGGCAGACCTTTCGGGGGGGGGGGGGGGGGGGGGGTGTATGGTGAAGTATGAGGCTTCAGACTGACTATGTTGTTAAAAAGAAAGCTAGAGAGAGTAGATTAAGTGTACTTCTGTTTATTCTCTTTTCAAAATAATTGTAACTCAATTATTTGCTCAACCTCTCAGCCTGTTTTTATTTTTCATTTAACTCTTGATTGTACCCCTGATTGTACACTGCACTGTAACTTTTATTATTTATTTAATGTGTATTATTTCAATTTCATTATTTCCCTATGTTGCTTTTAAACTTTTTTATATTTCCCTGTTGTTGAAATGTGCTATACAAATAAACTTGCCTTGCCTTACGTTGATGATGCAGAAACATGTTGCGCAGTTGTTGTTTTATTTTTTTGCCTGATTTTTAAGTATTGTAGGCTCTTGCCCTACAGAGTGGATGAGAGGTAAATATCAATCTACATTTGTCAATAATCAATGCACTATTGTTGTGTCAGGGAAAATAATGCCTTCCCAAAGAATACGGAGTCAAATAGATGTGTTGAATCATTTCTTTACGTAACGTGGCCACGGAGAGAACGCACGGTTACTCTCCCGAACTCAGCATTTCCTCTCCTTAAGTACAGAACAAGTACAAAGCAAACAGCAGCCAACAAATGGTAGATGAAGGATAAACAAATGGCAGAGTATTTAGCATACACTCAAAAACTCTTCCTGAGCTAAGAAAGGAAATGCAAATGAATGTGGCATCAGATGTTTCTCTGTCTCTTGATTGGTCTATGTTAAATCTCTCACCTACATGCCAGCAGACGTTTATCGTAAATCAGACAACCCTTTGTTTAGGAATAAAAACCCTGTGACCAATGCTAATTTCTCACAAGTTAATTAGAGTGAAATCCTAAAAATCAGCATCTTATAAATGTATTTCTCACAGTTGGTCGAAAAGTAAGTAAGTAAGATAACAAAATTGACAACAAACATTGTAAAAGTGGAGGTAGAGAGTAGAGAACAGTTACAAAGCCTTGAACAGAAAACTTTTCTGGAAAGTAAACTAGAATCTGTTATGGTAGAAACCAAATCTACCTCATCTTCAAATCAGGTTAACCGTTCCTACATTTGGAGCGGTTAATGATGATCCTGACCCCCTCAATCTTTGGTTGAAATGCCACGACTTGCCTTATTTGATAAGCTAAAAACCAAATCTGTTCAATTGAAGGCACCGGTTTTATTGTATTAATCGTTCCTCTGATTGCCTTCCCTTGAAGCACCTGCTTTGACATTGAAAAATCTAAGATGAAATACTTTTCAACTCAATAGAGACCATAGACTGAATTGAGCCTCTCCATGTACTGACTCCTCTGCTCGTTATTTGTTCTACTGTCTGTGCCATCTTGCGTTTGAGGGAGGACCACCTATAGAGATAAAAGTGAAAATAAAGTTCAGTGCTTTTTCTGAGAAAGAAGATAAAAACACAAATTAAATGGTGTCATAGATTACAAAGTTCCTCTGACCTCTCCTTCTGACTGAAGATGAAACTGGTCCTGGACTGGGTTCTGGTATGGTGTCCTGAACCCATGTTTTCTGCAGAAATAAAGACAAGTAATGACACCCTACTTCATAGCGCCTTCCAGGTTGTTCAGGTCTTTTATTGTAAGATACTAGGTGATATGGGCACATGGGAATAAATAAGAGAACGACCCCAAAAATCCACCGACTCTGGCTACGGCGCTGTGCAGAGGTAATCACGGCCATTACAGTCAATGCTTTTGAGTCCACCAGATGCGGCCGCAGTGTGTCCCTGAAGCATCCCAGAAGCATCCACCTAAGCAGCTATTCTCTGCAGAGCGGCTCTCCGCTCCGCTCAGCAGAGAATAGGTAGCAGGTCTATTTTTGCCGCTAGCCGCGTCAAGCAGCACAGAGCAGATTGAACCAGGGACGAAATCAAACACAGAACGGCATAGAGCAAAGGTCGGCAAATAAGTCTGGCATCGGGCCAAAATGTTTTCAAGCCATTACATGGTGGGACAGAATAAAGTCAAATTATTTCAAATCCTAGTGCATGTTTAGCTCAGTCGGTTCTGTGCGGGACTCTTGTTAGGGAGATTGTAAGATCGATTCCAATTCTCCCTTTTTAAACAAATTGACGTCCAGACGTCTTTAGCAGGTCCCACAGACCCAGGTCAAACAGGCAGCCTCAGCCGGTACGAGCACATGACACAAATGACCCAGCAGATTGGCCCTCAGTCTTATCAGACTTCATAAGGACTGAGTTAGTGCGCAGATGTCTGTTCAAACCAGCTCTGGACTTTTGTAGAAAAGGTTTCTATTCAGGCTTCTTAAAGAGGGAGGATTGTAGTGAGAGCATTGTGGTGTCAGGTGTGACTGCGCAGCAGCTCTGTTTTGTCACAGCCAGTCTGTCTTGTGAGAAGGGTACATGATGCTCTCTGAGTATCTTATGTAACTTGTGTTGCAATACTTAGTTTGTGAGGCTTAGATAAGAGGAAGTTGTGTTGACACAAACACATACATTGTGATTCAATCATCCACACCCAATCACAAGCACACACATCCATATCACTAATCACACAGACACACCACTCTGGGTACAGTTACCTCTATAAATTGTCAGGCTGCATAGGAAGAGACAGACTCCTCTGCTTACTGCTTCAGAGTAGACTCTGTGTTGGTGTGAGGAGTCTCCAGATATATATCTGCAATTGCTTTTGGTTTGGTAATAAAGGTCTCGAAACGTAAGGCACTGTCTCATCTGATCTCTTCTCATCAACGGACCCGGTGAAGTCGGCGTACTTCAACAATTTGTCGTAACATAGCTGGTAGAGTTTTGCAATATAAACATCTAAAAACTGAAGCCAACCATGCTCTGTTTGGGACTGTGAGCTGCACTTTATGAGATGTGCTGAAGTTAATGTGTGGATTTTTGGTGAGATTGTGAATTGAGAAGTGTTTTAGTTAGTTTTGGTTTCCTCCTCCTTGTCTCAGTTTTACATACCCAAGTCCCAAATGGGGTTCTATGTCTGTCAGATGGTCTGAAAGGGATACAACCACAACAGCAGAGCAATAACACAGACTTATCCTACTTGTCTTCTTGCGATTTTGGATCTGGTCCTGTATGCATTTCTTATATTACCATAACATTTGTCCAGCTCTCTATTGTCTTGAGTGCCACACTTGACATATTGTTCAAATCCAGGAAGGGACAGTTCCAATTTACAATGGTAAAAATCTCCAAGAATAAAGACTGAGGCTCACAAATGTGACAAATTTGATTTTGGCATGTCCTGAATAAAATGAACTTAACAGTTTGACGTCTGCGTGTATTGGCTGGGTTTTAAGGAGTGGATGGACCTTATTTCCATATATTTGTCTGAAAAAGTAGTTTTTTATGTCCAGCTGATGCGGGATTCTCAAACAGATCACTATTTCCACATGATTACATCATTCATTTGTTTATTTTATTAGCACTACAATTCCTACAATAAACTCTCGTTAGATAGGCTATGTGTTTGTCATAGTTACATGTTACTTACTAACATAAATAGGCCTTCTGCCCATCAACATCTTGTAAACAGCTGTGTTAAACGGCAGGTTGGTTGTGAAGGGAACAAGTAAAATACCGACATGGTCTTGATCTGCGGTCTCCCGTTTTAAAGAGTGATGGCTGGCTGTTTGCTCAAGAAGCTGTTTTGTGGTATGCAGAAAGAGGAACGATAGGTAGACAGTATGGTCCGTGTAAGTTTTCATAGTTTGACATTTCTGAGGTGAGTTTGTTGTCAGAGCTGTTGAGAAGCTGACAGCAGTGTTAGAACCAGGTTATAACAGAAGGGCATGCAGGTTTAACTCTGGGCTGAGGGTGAATGATGAAGATGATAACTAGGCTGCAAATAAGACATAAAGATACAAACCAAATGAAATGAACAACAATAAATACATCTGTGTCAGTAACCTGGATTCAAAACAGTTAATACAGACACAGTACAGGCCTTCATTTAAATCCTGCCACCTGCTGGTAGAAAGGGGAAACAGCTTGGTTCATTACGGTGGAAACCACATTAAATATTTATTTAATATTAAAAAACATAGCGCTGACAGTAACAACTCTGCACACACAATAATTTCTTAGGTTAACCTATATTAGCCTACCAACTGTACTGCACCAAACAATGTGCTTTAAAAACGTGACTCCTGACTGCTGCTTAGGCCTACAAGAATAAATGCACAGTATTATAGTGCATGTAATCATACTGTTGCTAACGTATTTCTCTCGGTCCAGGTTTATTTATTTTCATCTAACATCACCCTGGTATAACGTTAGTGCTACATAATTTTACAGATCTGGCCGTTCTACAAGCTTGGCTTTTATTTTAATAGGTTTACCATTACTTCCGGGTCACCTGGCCCACCTGTCTTTCTTTTCTTTATCTGTAAACGGAAAATGAAAATAGGAATTACATAAAACCAAAATCGGTCCATTATTTGAATTTAGTTTAGTAGTTTTTCATTTTTGGATTTAGAAACCAAAAACGGGAGAACGGGTCTGGTCTGGGTATCTCTGGATAATCCGTAATTCGTTTGTAATACAACAACGAAAATACCGTTTATCTGTTTTTTGTTTAAAAACGAAAAAACAAATAACCGTTTTTGGTGTCAGAATCAAAAAATGAAAAACAAATTAAAAACGGACCGTTTTTCGTTTTTGGCCATTCATTTTATTGTTATTTCTTTTTGAACAAAGAATGAAGAGAGTCTGTGAACTTCAGCCAACTCGTTTCTCGTTATAAACCAAAAACGGAAGTCACGTGGTCTTTTCCTTTTATGGAAGCGAAAGTAACCGGTAAAACCTTCAAAATAAAAGTAGCCCATGTACCATGTAGTTAAAGAGGTGATTTTAGACTAAAACTAAAAAAACGTTTTTTTAGTAAAACTAAAGTAGCACTGGGTGTGAAAAAAAACACTTGAGTTAACTGAAATAAAATAAAAAATAAACTTTGCTATTACTTGTAGTTCTCATAAGTTATGTAGGCCTACTTATGTGTGAAACCTGGTGAGCATTACTGAGAGTCAAAAATAATCTCCAGCTCTGGGGCTTTCAGATCTTTTAATGCTTTTTTGGGTTTAATTCTGTTTGATGAACCACCAGGGAAAGGCCGTGCTCTGTTCTGTTCGTACTTGTGTAAAGTAAAATAAAAGTGAAGTTGATTTCATTTAGTTTTTCTCCCTGGTACTCATCTCAGGACCTCCCAGATTTTCCCCAATACCTGGAGGATGTGAGCCTGTGCAGTATCAAGGCTGGCCCCATCACCTGCTGACACCCTCTTCAAATTAACACTGGACTGGCAGGACAAAGCAGAACACCACTCCTTCCTCCAGCACCATAAATAACACTTTCAGATTTATGGTAACCACACCTTGTAATTATGGCACTGTTTTTGTGGATTTGGATGATGTCAACTTATGTCTTAATACACATTTATACAATATACAGTAGGCTTTTGTGTACAACAGTACAGTGAAGCAGGGCTCTGCAGTGCAACTCTTTCACTCACATATGCCCAGAAATGATTTACAAGCACAGTGGGTTAGTGAAGACTAAAACCTACTGTAAATAATGTTAAGGTTATATTATACCAATAGTCATTTATACTAGTTCCTCCTCCAGGTTGTGGTTAGAGCCTCTGCAGTGGACAAATGTAGATTTAGTTAAGTCCACAACATTTTCAGGCCCATGTTGAGCATTCAGAGCCAGTAGTCTTCACATCATAAAACGGTCATTGCACACAAGGAGAAGGAGCTCAGGCATATTATAAATATGTAAAATAATTTTTTATAAGTTAATTCTGTGCTACTTGAACATTTTTGGACTACTGTCCTCCTTAAGAGAAAGGTTAGCATAGCACTACAAGCAAATAAGCAAGTCTGGGAACAGATCCATGATATAATTTTATCCCATGGGATTTATTTATTTAACACAGCACTTCTTTCCAAGAGAGACATGTGTTTCAACTGGAAAGGTGATTTATGAATCATCGAAATTTAAAGATCAGGTTTTGGGCAATTTTATTAACTACACAAGCTCAAACAATAAACCAACAAGATATTAAGGCCAATGCTGCAGAGATACTAAAGGATAAAAGCAAACTGTTACCAAAGCACAATTCCAACCAGGATGCCCTGACACCACCACCCACAGGTGTGCACCACCACCTAAAGACAGCAAGTCATACACATGAAACACCACACAATAAGGCTCAGTTAGAGGTTTGCACACAGCTATCATATACACACACCACAACATGCAGTAAAGGGCAGAGGGGCTCCCATAGTCCACCACCCTGTCAGTCTGGCAGAACACTCGAAAAAGAGGGAGAAGGGCTGAGGGAAGCAGCCCAAAAACAAGTCAACTGCCCCACCCTTAGCAGAACCTAGCAGTTGGCAAAAACATTCACAGGGCCCGTTCACTTATAACAGAGTCTCATAAAAAGAATCCCCATTTAAAATCAGGACACAAAAATCCACAGTTGATCAGGCAGGCAAAACAGCAGTGGCTATATAACCCACAACTAATGCAGTAAATCATCCACCCAGCTCTGACTCCACCTCATTCAAGGAGCAGACGTTTAAGGAAACTCAGTGAATCAACCTCCACGGCTATCTCTGTGGTGAACTCTAGCAGAACAGGCCATGCAGTCTACAGGGTCTTGGCGACAGGTGGTTTAAAATGCCTATAATAAAAACAATTTTAAAAGTTTTCATAAAAGTCAGATGGCATACCATCCAAAATCCTAACCTGCTCCTTGGACCACACTACAACACAATGCATCAAGAGAGATCCTGAGTGCTCCCTGAACGTCAACTCTCAATGAGGTAATTGTCTCCGGGTGTGTGCCCACTACTGGAGAGGCAGGGTGGAGCTTACCTGAGAGGGTGAAACTAGATAGTGGCATTACTAGGCCGAAAGCCATCACAACAAGAAAATGGATAACCACACAGGCTAACTAATTAACTGATATACAAGCTTACATTTAAACAGCTAGCCTTGTTATCAAACTCGAACCATCGCTTAATATTTAGTTTTATCAGTGTTAGCAGCTAGCTAGCAATACACAAACACAGTAGGTTTTTTTGTTTGTCTTTTTACTAAAGGGGATTGGGGCCAAACTCCCCTAAACACATGAGAAAGTCTGAGCACATTGTTCAATCTTCTCCAGAGCAGCCTTTACTGCCAGTTAACAATCTGAGGGGTCATCAGTCAGATGAACACCAAGCTTTATGTGGACATTAAGCCATTCATTCACAAACACCTCAGAAGAAAGACCTTCTGGATATTCCCTCTGTCACGTCACAGAATACCAACAGCAACTTCTAATGACATTTTCTCACATCTGATACAAATCAGCAGACTCAGAGCAGGACTGAGTTCTCTTCCTCTTAACATATCAAGCATGTCCCACAAAACAAGCAACACACAATTGAATCAATCTGTCCACACACATCCCTCACACTGTCTTAATGTTGCAACATGTCTGCAAGGATAAAGATAGAACCATATTGACAGTGCTGTACATACTTTTGAAAAAAAATTGCAACAAACACATAACCCACCAAATGATTGGGAACATTAACTCGATCCAGTTATCATCGCATATTACACTCAGCCTCCAAGAAACAGATAGGATGACCAAGTAAACGGCAGATTTCCCCCCAATACTCAAGTTTTGTCTCCAATTCCTTTAAATTCATCCAATACAACACAAAATGAGACTTTTAAATGCTTTAGAAGCAATTATTCTCTTCTAACGTTGAAAGCCTCAAGTACTAGGCTACAAATGTGAGATGTTGTCTGTAAAGAGGGTGTAGGTGATTGGTATTAAAGGTGGGTGACCCAGGTAGGGTCGACAGGTTGGAGCTGTGTCTAGTACAGGTCACCCATTTATTTCAATTTCCTTATGCACAAAAACAGTGCCACAATTACAAGGTGTGGTTACCATAAATCATGATGTAAATATCTGAAAGTGACAACAGGGCCCTTTTCTGGTGCTGGAGACAGGAGTGGTGTTCTGCTTTGTCCTGCCAGTCCAGCATTTATTTGAACAGAGAGTGATGGTAGGTGATGGGACCAGCCTTGATACTATCATCAGTCCTCAAACCCTGCTCTTGCTCACATCACCTGTCTTGGGACTCAATTTCACTTTTATTTTACTTTACACAGGTTTGAACAGTGCATAGCTTTCCCTGGTGGCTCATCAAACAGAATTAAACCCAAGAAAGGCAGTAAAAGACTTGAAAGCCCCAGAGCTGGAGATTATTTTTGACTCTCAGTAATGCTCACCAGGTTTCACAAATAAGTAGGCCTACATAACTAATGAGAACTACAGGCTGCATTAAAATGTTTAATCTACTTAACTAACATAATAAATATATTACACTGAAGATAAATAGCAAAGGAAAATAAAAAGTTTACAACTCCACAGATTTGTTTTGGAAGAGTTTTGTTTTGACACATAACAGTGGAAGCTGAGAGTTTTTAGCAGCTATAGCACCACAGAAAGAGAGGCTGGAAGGCAGGTCTGCACACCCTTCAAACTCAGTGATCAGCTTCCTTTGGTAGCAGTGCCAGCCTTCTCTTTGATATAAACACAAGTCAAAAGGTCAAACCCTTGTTGCCTGTTGGCGCCACAGAAGGGGGCAGAGTGACCTCTGCTGGTTGACCTTCCACATAGCAAGAAGGCCTATAAATATGTTAGGAAACTAAAATATGAATTAAATAATATAAACTTAAATAAATAGGCTAACTGCTATCCTAAGCTACATATAATTTTAGTTCACTTGTCTTAATCTGAAGTTACAGGTCACCAATGGCCTTACAAATGTTTAATTCTCCCTAGCAGCCAGAGCTATTATTTTATTATTTCAGTTAATTAAAGTGTTTTTTTTCCACAGACAGATTTAGTTTAGTCTTATAACCTACTAAAAACGTTATTTTAGTTTAGTTTTAGCCCCAGAGCTGGAGATTATTTTTGACTCTCAGTAATGCTCACCAGGTTTCACACATAAGTAGGCCTACATAACTTATGAGAACTACTACTACTAAGTATCTTACACTGGCGAAAATAGCAAAGTTTATTTTTTATTTTATTTCAGTTAACTCAAGTGTTTTTTTTCACACCCAGTGCTACTTTAGTTTTACTAAAAAAACGTTTTTTTAGTTTTAGTATAAAATCACCTCTTTAACTACATGGTAGATGGGCTACTTTTATTTTGAAGGATTTCCGGTTACTTTCGCATCCATAAAAAGGAATAGACCACGTGACTTCCGATTTGGTTTATAATGAGAAACGAGTTGACTGAAGTTCACAGACTCTCTTCATTCTTTGTTCAAAAAGAAATAACGATAAAATGAATGGCCAAAACGGTTTTTCGTTTTGTGATTCTGACACCAAAAACTGTTATTTGGTGTTTCGTTTCGAAACAAAAAACGAATAAACGGTATTTTCGTTTTTGTATTACAAACGAATTATCCACAGATACCCAGACCAACATGTTTATCAAGGTGTTTTTCCTCGAGGATTCGGCAATATTGACCCCCTAAACACTATGACACGGGAATGTTTTTAAACAGTGACGATCTAACTCCGACAATACTGTGAAAACATGAATTTATTGTCAACACTGAGCCACAGGACGAGTAGAAGTGGAAATATTCTGCCCACAACACAGCAGGCCTAAGGCATGGACTTAGTTCACATCCATCCTTCCTATATTGTAGGTAAAATACGAGGCACCCAGTCGGACCTCTTTACTTGTAAATGCTCGTCCATACCACGTTTTAAGCAGAGTTTTGGCTGCTCCAACTTAAGAGCCCAGCGTGGAGTGCCATTGAAATAGGATAGAAGAAATTACCCAAACATTTTAATCCGTTAATCATTTGTTCATATACTGTTCGCCGAATTAACCGAGGACAGTTCATTTGTGATATGTACCATTGGATGTACTGACCAATGTGAGTGAATTACTCTGATACAGAAGAAATCTTAAAACCGGAGGATTCTCAGGCAAGTTCTGAGGCGCTTCCTGTCCCCACACGCATTCAGAGATTTAAGTGTAACTCTCTGAATGCGCACACAACACGCGCACGCGTATGGCAACCATTTAGTTTGAAAACCAGTAGACTAGGGCTACAGCACCGGGCAGCGGAGGTCTACCTCGCTGTTCCAAGACAATAATCCATTATTTACGTAAAAGTTAATACCTACATATTACAAATATTTTACAAATACTAACTTGTCCAAGGGCAGCAATGCCCTTTTCTGCAAATAGGGGCCTACAGAGAGATTTACCCAACGGTGCTATGCTTAATCAGCATTGTGTGGAATCATTTAGCAAGGGCTTGAATGTAACATACAGTCCCACATTTCAGCTTTCCATTCAAACAGACTCAATATCTGTGTTTGACCTCTAAACTCAAATCAGCCTAGTTTCTAGTAGAGTGAAATTAATCTGTACAAGCAAATCTGAAAGCTAAAAAGGTATTACTCACCTGCAGAGACAGACAGCTGAAGTGAAGCCACATAGAAAAAGTCCAGGTGTGAGTATGTACAGAAAATACCACGATGAATTGATTTCTGCATAAAATCAGATGTGAATGAATTTAAGTAGCATGTAGGTTGAGGTTTGAAATGCATTGTGTCTGGTGTAGAGATGATTAGCTCTGCTTTGTGTTCTACCTACCTTCAGGTTTATTAGACACCGTTAAATTCCACTCAATTGTCTTTGGACCGTCTGTACCAACTACATTACATGTATAAAGTCCTGCGTCTTCATGCTGAGCATTAAAAATATTCAGATTTAAAGGTAAATTTAGGTCTATTCTTAGTCTGTGAGAGGTGAGATTTGAAAAAGTTAGATTGTGAACAACTGTATAAACAAAAAGAGTTCTGCTTTTTGTCCAGCTAATTTGCATTGAATTTTCTTTGGATATGTTGCAAGTGAACATGACAGACTCTCCCCTGGACACCAGTACATCCCTGTGGTCAACTTGAGTCCCTAGCAATGAAGGAAACAATCAGTCAATATAAAACGCAATCTATGATTAAATGTAGAGAAAAACATGCATCACAAACACAAATCTCCACTGTACCTGCAAAGACTTGACACATAACTAATAACTGAATGGAGATCCGAGCTGCTTGGTTTAGGCTGAACATGATGACAATCAGACAGAGAAAGACTGACTGGTAAGTCACCATCAGATTTTAACTGTACTTGTAGAGGCACTACATAAAGGAAGTGGTTAGCTGCTGTTGGGCTGCTCAAAACTAAGGTATATTTACTGGAACATACAGTAAAGTAACACGAGTGTAAATTATACAATAATTTAATTCATTTTAAAATCTTGTGAATTCGAGTTTAGTCCTTTTTGAAAATAAACTGTGAACATGATTTCATTTGTAATCATATTATAAACTTAAGTGCGTGTAAGTGTGCGATGTTGAAATGCAGGAAGCAACTTCTGCTTAGTGGTGAGCATAACTGACCCACATACTGTAACCATACTGCTGCTCGGTGAATTATATGTGCATTCTTCTTTTCTCTCTATTCTTTGGAATAGTTCACTGTTTTGATCACAAGACACTGTGACACAATTACAAGAACCAAATATTTTACCTTAAAGTTACACAATGGCCTTTCTCTCTGCAGAGGTCCTCAACATGTATCCCCTATAGTGTCTAACCCCAACAGTGTAGACTTTAATGAAGAAATTTTGACCATCTCATTTCATTGTTTGGCATCATGGTTGATAACACTAAAAATATTGTCTGTGTCTCATGTCCACTTAATAAAGCAAAGCACAGCAACTCACACTAACAGATGTCCTCCAATGGAATTATTGAAAATAATACTGCAATTGACTTTAGTCTCTGAAATATAATTTATTTTGGTTGGAAAGTCCCCCTTTAATTTTCTTGCTGAACACTGGGGAGCACAGACCACTAATTGAAGAGTGTTGAGTTGACTTTATTTCCATTACAACAAACATTGTGAGGCACTTGTCTTGACGAGCTCAAAGTGCAGGACAGACAGGAAAACATTATAGCACACTAATAATGAAACCATCAAATACATAAGGACATTGATATATACATATATATGCACTCTGCACATGCGTTGGCGTCTGTAGCCACCTGTCAGAAGCTCCGTCTTCAAACCGAACTCTTATCCAGTTTTAATCCACTCTTTTTCGTTACATTTTTTATATCCTTTTTATTTAACTTAAGTTTTACGTGGGTTAAGGATTTTAGTCATCTGACATGTATTTTAAGGTAGATGACCGTAAAAACGCGATCAACGCTACTAATCGCAACAAAGCTCCGGTGACTATGCTAGCCGAGATAACTCTGCCCCATGAGGACTGCTCACTCCTTAAGAAAGCGAACAAGAAGATTGCTGACCTTATGGAAGACATCCGACGACTTTCAGAGGAACTCAAAGAGAAAGATTCCCTGCTGACTGGCTTTATGGATGTGGCTTCAGTACAAGCCAAACAGATTGTTTCTCTTAGCGCAACCGCTAACATCCAGGACACCGTGTTTTGGGACCCCTCTAGCCTTCCCAGGCTTTCATCCTGCTCGACTCCGAAGCATCAGTCAACCTGGGCTGAAGTGGTGGTCCGTGGCTGTAAGAGAGGCTCGGATGGGGCTGCCTCTCCTCCGCACATCGGCCTCTCCAACTGCTATGCAGCCCTGTCTGACGACACTCCGGTCCAACCAGTGGATGCACCTGTGGCTTCGAGTCTCCCTGATACTGATCTCTGACTTACATGTATGTATGTATACATGGGTCTGAATACTTATGACCATGTGATATTTCAGTTTTTCTTTTTTAATAAATTTGCAAAAATTTCTACATTTCTGTTTTTTTCTGTCAAGATGGGGTGCTGAGTGTACATTACTGAGAAATAAAATGAACTTTTTTGATTTTTGGAAAATGGCTGCAATGAAACAAAGAGTCAAAAATTTAAAGGGGTCTGAATACTTTCCGTACCCACTGTATATCCGGAGACTCTGCTGTCAGGCTGTCTAACACAAAGTCTGACTACTTCTGGCTAAGCAATGATTACATGCTGGAAACTGCACCCCTGTCTGGCCCTCGTGTTTGCCATATATGGTAATTGACAGTTGGTATAGAATGTTCTAGTTTGCCTTAGGGGCTGTCATGTGAGTGTGTGTGTGTGTGTGTGTGTGACTGTATTGTAAGTGTGAAGTGTGTCAGAGTGTATTATTGTCCGAGCCCGGTTTCCTGTCATTCAGCACAAGCTTCTACCTGTCTTAACTGTTGAATTACCTAAGATAAGCATGTCACACAATATTGAGTATCATATGAGCAATCATAACTAAAAAGTAAGTATATAAGAGAATCATATCCTGCAATATCACTGTAGGATTGTGTTGTATATCCACAGCTGGCGTGTAATGAAACGGAGTTCCCTCCTAGTTCCTTCTTAGCTAGCATGGAGCGACACTCCAGCATGGATGAATAAAAGAATGGGATATTTCTATTAAGAGAATATTGTAATCTAAACTAAATAATTAATTTGTAGTTAATCTTACAAAATAAGGACAATTCTTATGTAGCAAAAAACCCAAAACTACAAGTGTTAACAGCGTCCAAATAACTCTAAATTTAGTCTTTCAATAATATATAGACTATGTCCCTAATTCTAAACTAAAGCCTTACTCATAACTAAGTCACTAGTCACGCTAACAGGCCTCTTCTTTCCCTTTAGTAAAAAAAGCTAGAATTATAAAAAATTATAGTTTACAACTTTATTAACTGGAAACTTCAAGAGCTGAAGTTTGATCCTTCTACTGAGAACCAGCTGCCTTTTGCTAATTAGTGTGCAACCTGCATTATCCCTGTGAATAAGACTATTACAGAGGACATGAAATCCAGAACCCTTCCCTTGGGGATGAAGAATTCAAATGCTAGTTATCTACTTTGTTGACATAACAGGACAGTAGTTTTCTCTTGATGAAAAGAAAACAGAAGGTTAAAATAATCTCCTATAGGTAAAAGAATAAAAATCCCCTTCTTTATTTTGGCTCAACCATGATCTGTGCTAATAACATTTATTGCACGTTCCAAAGCTCAACAGGAACCAGCAGCTTCAACAACAAAAGTCTGTAACAATATCTATCATATGACTTTTTATTTTTTATGCTATGCCCCGATTTACCATGGGGTTCTTGACTAGCCAGAACAGGAAGTTCAGCAGTTTTCACTGTTTCATTGCATGTCTTGCATTCAACCATAGTGGCTAGTTTGCCCTTGACAATAAAGTTTTAGTTAAAAGTCTCATCACTGCTGCAACCTCTTTTTTGAGACCAACTACCTGACAGTTGTGGGGTGCCTATGTCACAACTACCCTCCAATTTTAACTGCACCTTAGCTACCACACACCTTATCTTTACTCCACCATACAACACTTCACAATCCATGACATGCATCCAACACAAAACAATACATTTACAGAGGCAGGCAGAGGGGTTGAAGGAGTGGGGGAGATTCTCATTGGCCTCGTGTCCTGCCCCTGGAGCCCCGGGCGTCGGGTCTTTTGCACTTTGGGGGACGCGGGGTGACCTGGCTTCTGGGGGCGGGGGTCTCTGCGCGGGTTGATCCGGTTGCGGTTTGGAGGGCTGCGGTGGGATTGTGGGGCGATTGTCGATGCATCTTGATGCACTGTGCTTTTTCCCTGGGCAGGGTCTCTGAATGGCTGCTGGGCGTTTAGTTTGTGCATTGGAGTCTATGTGGTCTATGGTCTATGTTGTGTGCGCGCCACGGACGGACCGGTCGGTCCGTGCGCACACAGACACACACAGTCTCACACATAGACACAAACAAATTTAGGTTGTCCCTGGTAGAATTATTCCTGATGCTTTTCTTTCAGTTACTTATTTAAATTAATTGTTATTATTCCAGCTCTTGTGGCTGTGCTGTGTTGCTTATTTAGTGTACTGGACTGTTTCTTGTTTTCATTTTTCTCTTAGATGTCATACTATGTCAGCTGTTTATTGCTGCTGTTCGGCGGGTTGTTTGATGATTATTATAATTTTTATTGTTTTTTTTGTTTGTGTTTGTTTGTTGTTGTTTTTCTCCTCCCCAAGCCCCCCTCTCTGTTCTATTGCAGGTTTTGTTGCTTTCTGCAATTGGTGTTTCCCCTTCGAGGGAACTCGAACTGCGTCGGTTACGACACTATGGGAACGCCTCTAGGCGAAGCAGGTCTGAACGTGAATGAAATCACTCCAATCCTATTGGCCTGTTGCTAGAACGGTAAGGTGTGACGGAATAACCGGAGGAGTATAAAGCACACCTGTACACACTCATCATCAGCTTTTTTTTATTCAGCAGGCGCTCTGATATGTTGTTTGAAGGAAGCTCCAGTCCTACAAGCAGTGTGTCTTACCTGAAGAAGAAGTCTACCAGCATGTCCGGCAACCAGATGTACAGAAGGTGTGTTTTTTCTTGCCCTCGGTACATCACGGATGGAGATTCTCATGAGATGTGTGTCTCATGTTTGGGGATGGAGCACGCACGGGCAGCTCTCGAGGGGGCTGCCTGCGCCCGTTGCGAAGCCCTTTCCGTGCGGGTACTGAGGTACAGCATGGCTCTCTTTTCCGAGGATGGCCGGATGTGTTTTCCCCGTGGCGCGGGCCCTGCGGCCGCTGAGGCGGCCCGGCGGCTTCACTCATGGGTTCACAGCGTGATCTGTCGGAGGATTTCGGGACGGCTGAGGCTTTTTCCCGACCTTCATCCGCTGGCTCCGACGCTTCCTTTCCTCGTTCGGGAGCCCGTTCTCGGCTTCTCCCGCTCGCGGTTTTGGATCCGGAGACGCTGCAGCAATCCAACTCCGAGGAGGCGGACGTGCTCAGCGTAGTGGACGATGACTTCCGGGTGTCGGGGCGGCGTCATCTGGCCGCGCCCGACTATGACGTGCTGCTGGAGGTGGTGACTAGAGCCGTGGCTAAGCTCAACATAGCAACTGGCCACGGGAGGAGCAGACACCACAGGCTAGTGGTAGCTTGATGAAAGGTTTCTTAAGCACCACACGCCACCTCCACGCCGGTCTCTGCCATTCTTTCCTGATTTACATGATGAACTGAGTAAATCATGGGGCAGACCCTTCTCTACATGGCTTTCCACACCCCGATCACTGAACTACAGTAATGTGATGGGGGTTAGGGACCGTGGTTATGG